ACGTGTACTCCGAGCATGTGCTGACCAACTAGCAAGTGTCTTCACTGACATTTTCAACATGTCCCTGCCTGAGTCTGTAATACCAATCTGTTCCAAGCAGACCACCATAGTCCCCGTGCCCAAGGACACTAAGATAACCTGCCTAAATGACTACCGACCCGTAGCACTGACGTCTGTAGCCATGAAGTGCTTTGAAAGGCTGGTCATGGCTCACGTCAACACCATTATCCCAGAAACCCTAGACCCACTCCAATTTGCATACCGCCCCAACAGATCCACAGATGATGCAATCTCTATTGCACTCCACACTGCCCTTTTCCACCTGGACAAGAGGAACACCTACGTGAGAATGCTATTCATTGACTACAGCTCAGCATTCAACACCATAGTGCCCTCAAAGCTCATCACTAAGCTAAGGATCCTGGGACTAAACACCTCCCTCTGCAACTGGATCCTGGACTTCCTGACGGGCCGCCCCCAGGTGTTAAGGGTAGGTAACAACACATCTGCCACACTGATCCTCAACACGGGGGCCCCTCATGGGTGCGTGCTCAGTCCCCTCCTGTACTCCCTGTTCACCCATGACTGCATGGCCAGGCACGACTCCAACACCATCATTAAGTTTTCCGACGACACAACAGTGGTACGCCTGATCACCGACAACAATGAGACAGCCTATAGGGAGGAGGTCAGAGACCTGGCCGTGTGGTGCCAGGATAACAACCTCTCCCTCAACGTGACCAAGACAAAGGAGATGATTGTGGACTACAGGAAAAAAAAGAGGACTGAGCACGCCCCCATTCTCATCGACGGGGCTGTAGTGGAACAGGTTGAGTGCTTCAAGTTCCTTGGTGTCCACATCACCAACGAACTATCATGGTCCAAACACACCAAGACAGTCATGAAGAGGGCACGACAAAGCCTATTCTCCCTCAGGAGACTGAAAAGATTTGGCATGGGTCCTCAGATCCTCAAAATATTCTACAGCTGCACCATCGAGAGCATCCTGACTGGTTGCATCACCGCCTGGTATGGCAACTGCTCGGCCTCCGACCGCAAGGCACTACAGAGGGTAGTGCATCACTGGGGCCAAGCTTCCTGCCATCCAGGACCTCTATACCAGGCGGTGTCAGAGGAAGTCCCTCAAAATTGTCAAAGACTCCAGCCACCCTAGTCATAGACTGTTCTCTCTGCTACCGCATGGCAAGCGGTACCGGAGTGCCAAGTCTAGGTCCAAAAGACTTCTCAACAGCTTCTACCCCCAAGCCATAAGACTCCTGAACAGCTAATCATGGCTACCCGGACTATTTGCACGCTGCTGCTACTCTGTTAATTATTTATGCATAGTCACTTTAACTCTACCCACATGTACATATTACTTCAACTACCTCAACTAGCCGGTGCCCCCGCACATTGACTCTGCACGTGTACCCCCCTGTATATATAGCCTCCCTACTGTTATTTTATTTTACTTCTGCTCTTTTTTTCTCACTTTTTTGTTGTTGTTTTATTCTACTTTTTTATAAAAAAATAAATGCACTGTTGGTTAAGGGCTGTAAGTAAGCATTTCACTGTAATGTCTGCACCTGTTGTATTCGGCGCATGTGGCCAATACATTTTGATTTGATTTGATTTGATACCAAATTTCTTCAGCCTCCTGGGTTGAAGACAGCGCCTTCTTCACCACACTGTCTGTGTGGGTGGACCATTTCAGACTGTCAGTGATGTGTACGCCGAGGAACTTGAAGCTTTTCACCTTCTCCACTGCGACCCCGTCGATGTGGATGTGGGCGTGCTCCCTCTGCTGTCTCCTGAAGCGCCTTCGTTTTGTTGACGTTGAGGGAGAGGGTATTTTCCTGGCACCACTTTGCCAGGGCCTTCACCTCCTCCCTGTAGGCTGTCTCGTCATTGTTGGTAATCAGGCCTACTACTGTTGGGTCATCTGCAAACTTGATGATTGAGTTGGAGGTGTGCGTGGCCACACAGTCATGAGTGAACAGGGAGTACAGGAGGGGGTTGAGCACGCACCCTTGTGGGGCCCCTGTGTTGAGGATCAGCGTAGTGGAGGTGTTGTTTTCTACCTTCACCACCTTAGGAGGCCTGTCAGGATGTCCAGGACCCAGTTGCACAGGGCAGGCTTAACGCCTCAATCACACCGATAGCGTCATTGCGTAAAATGGTATGTAGCATCATCTGGATACGTGTGCAACAAAAGTTCAACATTCACCTTCTGCTACCATTTCTGTCAACCCGTCTACGCATACAGTTTGACGCATACGTTCGATAAATCCAACGCTGCAAGACAAACGCAGCGTTCCATTGGAAATGAATGTACTTCTGGTGTACCAAAATGCAATGACGCTATCGGTGTGATCGAGGCATAATGATGAGCTTGGAGGGTACTATGGTGTTGAAGGCTGAGCTGTAGTCAATGAACAGCATTCTTACAGAGGGTACAGTTTCAGACTATTATGCCTCGATGATGATGGAAAGCTGTGGGCTCCGGTTACTCGATACATTTGTGTGTTCGATGCACTTCATCACCAGTAAGTCACTAACATTTGTTTGTATCTAACTAACTATTGCATAAAGCTTGCGAGTTAGCCTGCAGTAAAGACTAGTGAGCTGTATCTGTCCAAATAGCTATAATATTCTTCTGCATTTGGATATTTATGATTCGACCAAGTAGGAGCAACAGGAGTACCCTACGGCTGTACCCTACTCGGGTGCGTGGTCATGTTAAGCTACGCCTCGCTGTGTGTATCCATGTGAGAAGATGTTAGCCAGCCTGCAAAGCAACCGTTTTTTGTTAGCCATAGCAACCAATGTATTTGCACTGATGAAAGTATTATTTTTTTTGTCCGGTTTTTGTCCTCAAGTGGAAGGATGAAATAGTATACATTTACTTATCAAAATAGCTGCAGAACGCATCACAGGACTTAACAAGCATATGCAAATTAAGTGAAAGTCCAGCTTTTGTGATTGGACAGTAAAACAATTCTATGCGTTGTTCTTGACCCTGTTTCACACTGGCTATTTTGGCACCGTGTTTCTGGGTCTAGCCCCGAAAAGTCGGTGCTAACCCTGCTCCCGAGGTTGGTGCTAGTCCACTTTAGAATGTGCAAGTATGAACACTCGCTTGGCCCTGGGCTTACAATCTCCCTTAGCCCAGGGCTAAGCAGGCTCTTAGCCCTGGGCTAAGGTGTAAATGCGCCTTAAATCAGACTGAGGAACAGAAGGTTTTCTCTGAAGAGGTGATATGGTGGGAGAGCTTTGTCTTTACTTTTAAACAACCGCTCCTGAACTGCCAGACCATCCGCTTATATAAATGTTTAGAAATGTCTCAATCCCTTTGAATTTATGAATTGCATCTGATCTTGCTATCAGTACAACTTGTACACAAAAAGCAACCCAATAATTTATTTCAGAACCCTCTTGGTTCCCTACCAGTGCACATTTGACTCCACAAACCAATATTCCCAAAGCCTTATAAACAATTATTATTATCAGAATAATCTATATCTGGGTATTCAACTCTTAGTTGGAGGTCCAGAGCCTGCAGGTTCTGTTCTACCTGATAATTCAATTGCACCCACCTGGTGTCCCAGATCTAAAATCAGTGCCTGATTAGAGGGGGAAAAATAAAAAAAAGCAGTGGAACTGTCTTCGAGGTCCAGAGTTGAATTTGAGGGATCTATTTCATGCATCACCACATCGCAAAGTCGATCACATTGCTACAAGCCAGCCAAGTTATCACAGGGACCATCGATCATAACCAATAAACGTACAAGAAAATCCAATACTGGACAGAGCACCAGAATCTGTCTACCTTTCAAACACAGATCTGTCTACAAAAAACACACACACACTTACCTGGAACAACAGTTCAATACTAACCAATCATTGCTTTGTGAAAAACAAACCAGTCAATAGCAACTACGTAAGCAGCCCGTCCCCACCGCATGCAATGGAGATTGATTAGTGGCAAGCTTTCTGTTGGCTGTTGATGGATTTCTTTACTGACCGATCAAGAGGGCAACACGGCCCCTAGAATATACCCCATCTTTAACTCTAGAAGCCTGAGACCAATCACAAAGGTTCTAAGCACTGTGTTAGTTTGTCAGTTCCAGCTCATCTTATTATTGGTTAAAGAGAGTTTTAGTTGATTAATTGCACACAATGAAGGGAATAAGGGGTCCTACCTTTTCGTAAACCTGAATGACATGTTTCTACAACAGAATCAGGAAACACAAAGAAACAGTGAAAATGAGGAAGGACAACTGAAGGAATATAACTGATTAGTTGAAATGAGTGAACAAAATCACACTCTTAGAAAAGAAGGTCCTATCTAGAACCTAAAAGGCATCTTCGGTTGTCCCCATAGGAGAGGTAGAACCCTTTTGAGTTCCATTTAGAACCCTTTACACAGAGGATTCTATATGGAACCCAAAAGAGTTCTACATGGAACCAAAAAGGGGACAGCCGAAGAACCCTTTTGGAACCCTTTTCTCTAAGAGTGTGGGGTGGTTAGAATCATCAATGGTGAGGAAGGTTCAAATGACAGATGTTGATTTCTATTCCTAAAGTCAGGTTAGTCTTGGGACATCCCTAAATTGTTGTCAGTAGCCTGGCTGCCCGCCTGAGATGTGTTTCACACCACTCAGTTTGGACAAAAACTCAATTGGGTTTTCCCTGCAGGTTTACACTTGAGGTAAGTTTAATTATATGTATTTCTTAGGCTGACACCCAGGCTATGTTTTCAGTGCTTTTGGAACACTATATTGTTAGTAGGACTGTGAATGTTCCACACAATGTGATGATGCTAAAAGGCAGTGTTCAAAGGCCACTCAGAAGGATTAAAAACCAACCATATAAGTAAGAATTTCACTGTTAGTCCACACCTGTTGTTTTGATTTGATATTCAGTAGCTCGATATAGTCAGAGTATATTTTAGGGGCTTGGACTCATAGTTGAATTGATTGGCATGGAGCTGTAGTTCCTGACACCTACCTGCGTGTGAGTTTGGAGGTGAGTTTGGAGAAGAGGTTGCTGGAGCCGCGGCTGCGAGTCTGGGTAAAGCGCGCGGCGTCGTCAGACAGGGTGGGTGAGGCTGGGGGCCCATTGTAGGTGGCCGTGCGGCGCTCCCTCAGCTGGCCGCCGTGGAAGGTGCTGCGGCTCGCCGTGCCTCGTGGGAAACGTAGTCTGTCGGGTGTGGTGGCGCTGGTGATGCTGTTGGTGGACGCCACAGGGTTCCGCTGGCCAGGAGACACGGCCACACTGCAGGGAGGACGGAGGGAAGAGATGATACAGAGAAGACAGATAAACACCTGGCTGTACATACCAGTTCTATACATAGTATCACCAGCTGGGCCATTATCATATCACCAGAACCTTACCTTCAAATCCTAAACTCTAAAACTCTTCTAAAATGAAATCTAATCTGTGTTATGTTAATTTAGAATAATCCTAGTAGTTCACTAAAGTGTGCTATTATTAAAGTGAGTTGGAGTCCTAATATCCAGTTAGAACTAAACAAAGAGAGGAAACGTTGTTTAGGGAAACTGGCTAGTGGGGAAACATGGAGTGACTGACACAGTTTTGGATAGTCGAGGTAGAGGTGGGTAGTGGAGCTGCCAGTGACAGACCAGGGCCCGGTTTCCTGATAGTGATGGAATTAAGGCTTACGAGTGTTTTAACAATGCATCTTTCCTACAACATGCGATTCCCAAAACACCATGCAGAGAGAACGGTCGCTAAGTGCATCATTGGAGCATGTGTCGATACTGATAGGATCGAAAGAAAGGGAGCGCTGCTCTCGGGTCAGCTTTCTCCATTCAAATCTTACCTTAACGTTATAATTATTTCACAATACTGACGACGGATATGCTACTAGAGAGATATTACCACCTACGGCTGCAAATATTGAGGCGGCTTATACTAATGCTTACCCATTAAAAATGCACTAAATCACTGATTTGGCACATCATTGCACACATGTTAGGCTACACATCAGAAAATACAGTATATTGAGACAAATTACAGACATTAGCCTACAAGTAGCAAAATAGACCACCATTTATTGAACATTAAATGTATTTCAATATGACTGAAATAGGCCTTTAACCTACTGTATTTATAATTTGATGCAGTCATCTCGGTTTTCATTTGAAGCATCTTTTCATACATCGCTTGTTTGTATCAATTGCAAAGACATTGGCAACTTTGTTCTAAGTTATCAGCGGTCACAGAGAGAAGGATAAACCATGTGATTCTATGTTTAGCAGAGATCTTTTGTGTATAACGTGACACGGGAGGGCAAAAAAGCATCTAACGACGCACTTAGCTGTCCAACGAGTGGTCTGAGGCAGGCGTTACATTACGACCGTTTTCAAGTGCAACGTTAATTAAGATTATTTTGGGAAACCGGCCCAGTGCCATACCAGGGCAAGACCAGGGCCAGACCAAAGCTCCAAGGTCCAAGCAGAGGATGGAGGAGAGATTAGGGAACAGAGGTGTGTGCATAATAAAGGGTGGGGCTGTCTCCAACAAGAGGTTAGAGAGAGGTAGAGATGTCGTCATGGCAACGGTTAGAGTCCATAAAAGGGATGGATGTCGATGTGGGGACCATTGCGTGGGTTAGAGAGGGCCTGAGACACTGAGACAGGTCTACAAGTGGGAGGGGAGAGGTCAAACAGACAGTTGGAGGCCCTGCCTGCCGTCTTACTTGGGCCTGTAGAAGTCCAGAGTGCAATGGGAGTGGGGCAGCGTGGCCCAGTCTGAGTTTGAGGGGCAGGCAGACAGATGGCCAGAGGCCTGGTACCTCAGCTGGACCGAGGTGGACGAGCCAGCCAACACGGGGGCAAAGCCAGAGGACGGACTAATTGTCACACAGGCTGACATCTCAGTTATACTGGGACACAACCAGACCACGAAGTAACCAGATAGATAGAAGAGAAGAAAAAGGGGATCAAAAAAGACAAGTAAAAGAAGAGCAAGAAATGTATGATATTTCTCCCCTGGAGGCCTTGTCGTGTTTTTCTTTAATAACTTATCTCAATAATAACAGTATTACTACACATAGTTCTCTCCTCTGTGCCCTTGGGGGGATGGACAGTGAAGGTGCTGTGTTGAATGCTGATGCCATGTGGAGGGTTCCTGTGAAAGGGGCCACTAGGGGTTTAGTTCAGGCAGCCAGTGAACACAGTAACATTCCGGCCTGTTCCTTACCTGTTCTCCTTCCCATTGGGAATGACAGAGAGACGGTCCGTAGCGTTCTTGTCGCTGCACACATACGTGTTTCTCCTCGTCATCCCACCAGAGCCAGTGTTATTCTGCAGGGTGAAACAGAAACGCTGATTCAGCACACATCATCAAATCAGAATGGGGGATTCATCGCCACTTCAAGTGTCATAATATGTTATAGAATCGATAATGGAATGGAATAGCAGACACTCACGTTGGGGATGGGGGTAGCACCCTTCTTGCCATTGGGAATATCAGCCTTGTTGGGGTTGTTGGCGTTCCCCAGCAGGGGGCTGGATGGGGGGACACTGCGCCCCCCGGGGGTGTTGGGTTTGCGGAGCTGCACCCCTCCCTCCTCTTTGATGTTGTTTTCGGCCGTGCTGGTCTGGCTCCTCTTGGGGTATCCGGACACTGGGGGAACATTCTGACCCACTGGAGAAGAGAAAACGAGGAAGAACTAGTCAAAAGAGATAGAAAGAAACATTACTGACCCGCATAGAACTGTATATCTTTGGCCTCACATTTGAGCTGATAAGCACGAGTCAAAGATGAGAATTCCCTCTAAATGTTTGTTAATATGACGGACTGATAGTGTCTTACCCTGGTCACTGTAGCGTCTCTGTTTCTGGTTGGAGGAGACGCTCCGCTGGACTTTGAGGTGGGAGGGGGACTGGCCATTAAGCTCGCTGGTGGGTCGGGGCTTGGTCAGGGACAGGTTGCTGCTGGAGGTTGACTCACTGGGCTCCAGCTAGGGGTCAAAGGTCACAAGCACACACGTTAAAAAGATTGGACTCTGGATATACTGAGCACTAGACCAAAGATATCAACAACTATCTATAGTGTTGCTCTGACCTCAGAAGACTTCCTCCCCAGCAGCAGGTAGGTGGCGGTGATCTCATCATACTTCATCTTGGCCAGAGACTCCTGGATCTCCTCTAGAGAGAAGCCCATCCCCACCATCACATCTGGAACAGTACAGAGACATGGGTTCACATACCCAGCCCTTACAACTCGGATGGAAAATTACTGAGGATAATAGCGGACGATACTGCCACTCCTATTTGCCATATTTTCATCTGTCTAGGCCTCTTCCTTTTTTCAATCTTTACTAACGACATGCCACTGGCTTTGAGTAAAGCCAGTGTGTCTATGTATGCGGATGACTCAACACTGTACACGTCAGCTACTACAGCAACTAAAATGACTGCAACACTTAACAAAGAGCTGCAGTTAGTTTCAGAGTGGGTGGCAAGGAATAAATTAGTCCTAAATATTTCTAAAAGTAAAAGCATTGTATTTGGGACAAATAATTCACTAAACCCTAAACCTCAACTAAATCTTGTAATAAATCATGTGGAAATCGAGCAAGTTGAGGTGACTAAACTGCTTGGAGTAACCCTGGATTGTAAACTGTCATAGTCAAAACATATTGATACAACAGTAGCTAAAATGGGGAGAAGTCTGTCCATAATAAAGCGCTACTCTACCTTCTTAACAGCACTATCAACAAAGCAGGTCCTACAGGCTCTAGTTTTGTAGCACCTGAACTACTGTTCTGTCGTGTGGTCAGGTGCCACAAAAAGGGACTTAGGAAAATTGCAATTGGCTCAGAACAGGGCAGCACGGCTGGCCCTTGGATGGACACAGAGAGCTAACATTAATAATATGCATGTCAATCTCTCCTGGCTCAAAGTGGAGGAGAGATTGACTTCATCACTACTTGTATTTATGAGAGGTATTGACATGTTGAATGCACCAAGCTGTCTGTTTGAACTAGTGGCTCACAGCTCGGACACCCATGCATACCCCACAGGACCTGCCACAAGAGGTCTCTTCACAGTCCCCAAGTCCAGAACAGACTATGGGAGGCGCACAGTACTATGACTACATGGAACTCTATTCCACATCAAGTAACTGATGCAAGCAGTAAAATTAGATTTAAAAAACTGATAAAAATACACCTTATGGAACAGCGGGGACTGTGAAGCAACAAACATAGTCACAGGCACATGCATACACACACGATAACATACACACACGTACACATGGATTTTGTAGATATGTGATAGTGGTGGAGTAGGGGCCTGAGGGCACACAGTGTGTTGTGAAATCTGTGAATGTATTGTAAGGTTTTTAAAATTGTATAACTGCCTTAATTTTGGTGGACCCCAGGAAGAGTAGCTGCTGTCTTGGCAGCAGCTAATGGGGATCCCCTAATAATTACAAATACCTCTACAACCACTGTCAACAACTTTCTCATTTTCAGGGACTTTTCATTTAATGGAATTGACCCCAATCCTGCAACCCAAAATGTTAATGACCATAATACCAGAACGATCTTGTCAGCAACCAAAAGCAGCCCATATCCTTAGTGTGTTATACATACAGTGGGGGAAAAAAGTATTTAGTCAGCCACCAATTGTGCATGTTCTCCCACTTAAAAAGATGAGAGAGGCCTGTAATTTTCATCATAGGTACACGTCAACTATGACAGACAAATTGAGAATTTTTTTTCCAGAAAATCACATTGTAGGATTTTTTATGAATTTATTTGCAAATTATGGTGGAAAATAAGTATTTGGTCACCTACAAACAAGCAAGATTTCTGGCTCTCACAGACCTGTAACTTCTTCTTTAAGAGGCTCCTCTGTCCTCCACTCGTTACCTGTATTAATGGCACCTGTTTGATCTTGTTATCAGTATAAAAGACACCTGTCCACAACCTCAAACAGTCACACTCCAAACTCCACTATGGCCAAGACCAAAGAGCTGTCACACACCAGAAACAAAATTGGACACCAGAAACAAAAATTGTAGACCTGCACCAGGCTGGGAAGACTGAATCTGCAATAGGTAAGCAGCTTGGTTTGAAGAAATCAACTGTGGGAGCAATTATTAGGAAATGGAAGACATACAAGACCACTGATAATCTCCCTCGATCTGGGGCTCCACGCAAGATCTCACCCCGTGGGGTCAAAATGATCACAAGAACGGTGAGCAAAAATCCCAGAACCACACGGGGGGACCTAGTGAATGACCTGCAGAGAGCTGGGACCAAAGTAACAAAGCCTACCATCAGTAACACACTACGCCGCCAGGGACTCAAATCCTGCAGTGCCAGACGTGTCCCCCTGCTTAAGCCAGTACATGTCCAGGCCCGTCTGAAGTTTGCTAGAGTGCATTTGGATGATCCAGAAGAGGATTGGGAGAATGTCATATGGTCAGATGAAACCAAAATATAACTTTTTGATAAAAACTCAACTCGTCGCGTTTGGAGGACAAAGAATGCTGAGTTGCATCCAAAGAACACCATACCTACTGTGAAGCATGGGGGTGGAAACATCATGCTTTGGGGCTGTTTTTTTGCAAAGGGACCAGGACGACTGATCCGTGTAAAGGAAAGAATGAATGGGGCCATGTATCGTGAGATTTTGAGTGAAAACCTCCTTCCATCAGCAAGGGCATTGAAGATGAAACGTGGCTGGGTCTTTCAGCATGACAATGATCCCAAACACACCGCCCGGGCAACGAAGGAGTGGCTTCGTAAGAAGCATTTCAAGGTCCTGGAGTGGCCTAGCCAGTCTCCAGATCTCAACCCCATAGAAAATCTTTGGAGGGAGTTGAAAGTCCGTGTTGCCCAGCGACAGCCCCAAAACATCACTGCTCTAGGGGAGATCTGCATGGAGGAATGGGCCAAAATACCAGCAACAGTGTGTGAAAACCTTGTGAAGACTTACAGAAAACGTTTGACCTGAGTCATTGTCAACAAAGGGTATATAACAAAGTATTGAGAAACTTTTGTTATTGACCAAATACTTATTTCCCACCATAATTTGCAAATAAATTCATTAAAAATCCTACAATGTGATTTTCTGGATTTTCTTTTCTCATTTTGTCTGTCATAGTTGACGTGTACCTATGATGAGAATTACAGGCCTCTCTCATCTTTTTAAGTGGGAGAACTTGCACAATTGGTGGCTGACTAAATACTTTTTTTCCCCACTGTAGTTAATAAACAATTCATAAGGAATTATGCACACTTTGTCCTCTGACTCATTTAAAGCAAATGTGTATTTACAGTGAGGGGAAAAAAGTATTTGATCCCCTGCTGATTTTGTACGTTTGCCCACTGACAAAGACATGATCAGTCTATAATTTTAATGGTAGGTTTATTTGAACAGTGAGAGACAGAATAACAACAAAAAAATCCAGAAAAACGCATGTCAAAAATGTTATACATTGATTTGCATTTTAATGAGGGAAATAAGTATTTGACCCCTCTGCAAAACATGACTTAGTACTTGGTGGCAAAACCCTTGTTGGCAATCACAGAGGTCAGACGTTTCTTGTAGTTGGCCACCAGGTTTGCACACATCTCAGGAGGGATTTTGTCCCTCTTCTCCAAGTCATTAAGGTTTCGAGCCTGACGTTTGGCAACTCGAACCTTCAGCTCCCTCCACATATTTTCTATGGGATTAAGGTCTGGAGATTGGCTAGGCCACTCCAGGACATTAATGTGCTTCTTCTTGAGCCACTCCTTTGTTGCCTTGGCCGTGTGTTTTGGGTCATTGTCATGCTGGAATACCCATCCACGATCCATGTTCAATGCCCTGGCTGAGGGAAGGAGGTTCTCACCCAAGATTTGACGGTACATGGCCCCGTCCATCGTCCCTTTGATGCGGTGAAGTTGTCCTGTCCCCTTAGCAGAAAAACACCCCCAAAGCATAATGTTTCCACCTCCATGTTTGACGGTGGGGATGGTGTTCTTGGGGTCATAGGCAGCATTCCTCCTCCTCCAAACACGGCGAGTTGAGTTGATGCCAAAGAGCTCGATTTTGGTCTCATCTGACCACAACACCTTCACCCAGTTCTCCTCTGAATCATTCAGATGTTCATTGGCAAACTTCAGACGGGCCTGTTTATGTGCTTTCTTGAGCAGGGGGACCTTGTGGGCGCTGCAGGATTTCAGTCCTTCACGGCATAGTGTGTTACCAATTGTTTCTTTGGTGACTATGGTCCCAGCTGCCTTGAGATCATTGACAAGATCCTCCCGTGTAGTTCTGGGCTGATTCCTCACCGTTCTCATGATCATTGCAACTCCATGAGGTGAGATCTTGCATGGAGCCCCAGGCCGAGGGAGACTGACAGTTATTTTGTGTTTCTTCCATTTACGAATAATCGCACCAACTGTTGTCACCTTCTCACCAAGCTACTTGCCGATGGTCTTGTAGCCCATTCCAGCCTTGTGTAGGTCTACAATCTTGTCCCTGACATCCTTGGAGAGCTCTCCCTTTAAGAGTGTGCTCCTAATCTCAGCTCGTTACCTGTTTAAAAGACACCTGGGAGCCAGAAATCTTTCTGATTGAGAGGGGGGTCAAATACTTATTTCCCTCATTAAAATGCAAATCAATTTATAACATTTTTGACATGAGTTTTTCAGAATTTTTTTTTTGTTATTCTGTCTCTCACTGTTCAAATAAACCTACCATTTAAATTATAGACTGATCATTTCTTTGTCAGTGGGCAAACGTACAAAATCAGCAGGGGATCAAATACTTTTTCCCCCTCACTTATTCCACCATAACGACAAACGCGTATCCACCACTTATTAAATGCAGCAGCAACCTCATGAGTGAGTCAGCATTGCATTCCAGCTCAGGTGATATCACCCCTCCCCCCTCTCACCCCATCCATCAGCAGAGGAGGAAAAGTGCTGGGGGGGGAGGGGAGGAGTGCGGAACACACAGGCCTCCCAACCAATCACTGCCACCCCCGCTGCCTTCCAACCAATCACTCCCCATCTTCCACTGCCTCCCGACCAATCACTTCCACCCCCGCTGTGCTGCTTGCATCACGTTGAGAGGAGCATGCCAGGTGGGGAAGATCATACATCAGCTCCCTTAATACATCAGCTCCCTCTATCTCTTCATCCTTCTCTCTATCTATCCATCCAATTTGTTTTGGAAGATAAGGCTTCACTATACCCACTGAGGAGTTTTTCATTCCACTGGGCGAAAGAGATCGGAAGCCCCCCTGAAACATGTGATCTCTCTCCACTAGACTACAGAGCCCTCAGTGAAACATGTGCTCCATCCAATCTCTCCCTCCCTCCCGCGCTCTTTCTCTCTGTGCGCTAGGTGACTGGCATCTCCCTCTAACACATGTCCTCTGACAGAGATCCCAGCTGCTGTTATGCAATACCCCCACACTCAAGAGGACATCTTTCAGAGCATACGCCCTCTCTATCCCTCCCTCTCCTGCCGTAGTGCTTTTATCCAGGGCAAGATGTGGAGGCTCTCTCTGTCTCATGTGTCTCTCCCTCTCTCAGGGGCTCTCACAGAAACAGGGCTGCTTTTATCTTTTCAAATAAATACTGAGAGCGATCCTGTTGCAGTGTTGCTGCTGCTGCCTACACACTTGAGTTTTTGAAGCGCAGTAACGAGCAGTTTTTCTCCTGTTTAGTACCTATTCTCTTCTGATCCGTGATGTCCTGTTCTGGTTCTACAAAAGGCTTGAGCTCGTCCTCCTCTGATCCCACGTTGATCCAGCGGTCCTTCATGATTTGCTGAAAGAAAAATAAATAGTCCTTATAAAATATTGTCCTTATAATACAGGCCTGGGTCCTCTTAGTACAGGGTTCCATCATCATGATCACTGTCATACGTATACATGGATGCAGGGGGATGTGTGTGACGTAAGGTACCCTCTTAAATCCACTTTCACCCCATTGAACTCAAATAAAGTGAATTATGGTTTCCTTGAAAAAGATTGGATAGAGGTTTCGGTTTGAAGCAACGCTCCGCTGTTTGAAAGCAGAATCGCCATTTAAAGTCAGTCTCATGTAATTTTCAAACAAACTCGCCAATCAATCGGACCGTCGTGTATGATGGGTTTACAAGATAATGACAATAGGAAACGTGCAACCACGATGCCGATACCTGTTCTAAATGACATCTTTCAATGCAAGGTTGTATCTAATCTGAACTTCTGGTGACAAGAGGGATGAGGATGGATTCTAACACACATAATGTGAACACAGAAACTAAGACAATGTCTGTGCTGTGCTCAGAAACAAAAATGATAAAAATAAGAGTGATTATGAATGATGTATTGTGCCAACAGTGGAGAGAGATAAAGATAAGGGAGAATATGTAATCAGCACAAAAAGAGAGTGGTGGGAGGAGTGTCGAGCAGATGCCAGGCCGAGGAGTGGTGGATGGAATAAAATGCTCTGGAATGCCATGGCGGAGTGAATAAAGAAGTGAAGAATATTCACATTTTCGCTGTCCTCCTTCACCTCGAAAGTCCCCCGCTTGGCCGGGTTGAGCACCAGGAAGCGCTTGAGGAGGTTCTCGCAGTCTGTGGACATGTAGAAGGGGATACGATATTTCCCCCTCAGAACCCGCTCCCTAAGCTCCTACAGAGAGACAGACAGGGAGAAAGAGTGAATGAGACAGGAGTGAGGACATCTTTGAAATTGTGAGTTGTTTATATAAAATTGTACCCAATTGTTTAATTGACTATGAATCTGCCAATGACAAAGGAACTGAGGATGGAAGTATTTTTGTGATAGTCTTTTTACAGACCTTGAGGTTCTGCCCATCGAAGGGCAGCGAGCCGCTGACCAGTGTGTAAAGGATGACCCCTAGGCTCCAGACGTCAACCTCGGGTCCGTCGTACTTCTTCCCCTGGAACAGCTCTGGGGCGGCGTAGGGTGGGGAGCCACAGAACGTGTCCAGCTTGTTCCCCATAGTGAACTCATTACTGAAACCAAAGTCTGCTATCTTAATGTTCATGTCTGCATCCAGCAGCAGGTTTTCTGCCTAGAGACACAGGAGGGAAGGGAGAGAAAAACTGAAGTAAGGATGAGGTGAGAGATAGCAGTGAAATCGAATAGATAGAGGTAACAGACCACCTGGGTCACAGGTAAAAGCAAATATTTGAATAACCCAAGGACTCATGATAACAGTAGAGTTCCAATAAGATATAGAGATGTCAGAGGCACAAAAAAATCTACTGATGCCTCTGAAGATGGCCCTTTACAGAAAACCCCCTCACAAAACAAAGTGCTCTGCAAGTCAAAGTTAGTGTCGTGTTTAAAGTTTAACTGTGTTTCCTCCTCTCCCCAGTGACACAAACATACAGGGTGGAGATGGCTGCTCTCTGCTCTCACATCTCTGTCCTCATGGATCATTCATGAAGCTCTACAGAGGAAGCAGAGTGTGGACACGCGGCTGCCGCCAGCGGAGAGGAGATGGGAGCTCTGAACAGAGTAACTCCCACGGAGGTCGACCCACTCACGCTAACCGAGATTCAAATACAGGAGCATCAATATTTATTCTACATGTGGCAGCATAATGGAGGTTGACTAAATGGAATGGTCCCTTTAAGTGAGTATATTGTGCAGCAGAGAACATGTGAGCAGGTAAAAAGCCCGCCTCCAGCCACCTGACTTCATCCTCCCCTTCCCCACACACACATACACCCCCTTCACCCATCCACCCAGCCTGGCCCTCACTGGTTCCTTACCTTCAGGTCTCTATGGACAATGTGCTTCTGGTGGCAGTACTGCACAGCAGATACGATCTACATAGAAACAGATAGACAGACAGTTACGGTCTTCCACCTGACACTGTTTTCACAACACCCCCTGGGTGAAGGATGTGGTGAGGAGATGTGGTGTAGAGTGAGACGATACAGCTAGAGACACAGAGTATCTCAGACACAAGGTGTAGACATGACATCTCTAGCTGGGAGAAAACTGTCTCCTCTCTTCCTGTGTGAGCATCTGTTCTAAATGTATCAGTGTATCAGTGCCCCCAGTGAAACTCTGCAGTAAGATGAACCTGCAGTGAGACCAGGGAAGTAGGAAGCTATAGCCTAGACATTGTTGAGTGTGCCTGTCCTTCCACTGCAGAGCACTGTGTGTAGGCAGCACATCCCCAGTGTTTCACCGTCAGTGACAGAGAGAGATAAGTGATGAGGGGAGCTCTGTGTTTTGTCACTTCTCATAACTCCACAGTGATAGCAGTCTACCCTGGGTGGGTCAGGACACTGACTAGTGATGTATGGCCAGGCAGGCAGGGTGTGAATCCAGCACACTGCGGGTAAAGTCCTGTACCTACCTGTCTAAATTTAGCCCTGGCCTCTTTTTCTTTCATCCTTCCGTGTGCAACAAGGTAGTCGAAGACCTCCCCTGCAAGACAAACACAAAAGTAAGGAGCTGAAATTAAAGGTCGCATATTTCAAAGGGAAAAAAAGTTTAAAAACGTCAACATTCAGACAGTACATCAAATGAGATCAATGTTTAAAAAAGATAGTCAAAATAAAATCAGAACTACTTTGAAAAACAGTATGTGGAGCATGTGAGCCTAACTGCTCCTCATGCCTACAGAGGGACACAGAACTCTAATTAATATACTGTAGTTCTGTCCTGAAGGCACAAGCTTCTGAGTATGGCTACAACATCAGAGGCTTCCCTCAGCCCACACACCTGGGGGGGGGTCCAGCATCAACACAACTCTCCCCATAAAACCTCTAGTTCTGCATCCTCGAAACCCTCCCACACACACTCAGTGTTGACCTGCGAAGGCAGGGAGTAAGTGTGTGTGTTAATGTCCGTGTGTGTGTGTCTCTTGGCCCTCCCGCCCAGACCAAGCTCTTCTCTGTCCTGGCACCCCAATGGTGGAACCACCTTCCCCCTGAAGCTAGGACAGCAGAGTCCCTGCCCATCTTCCAAAAACATCTGAAACCCTACCTCTTCAAACAGTATCTTAAATAATCCTCCTCCTCACTTCGACCCCCCCCCCACAAAAAATTATAAAAATAAATAAGACTTCACCAGCACTTGCACTTGATATGTTTCCTGTGTGACTCTTCACCAAGCCCTATGTCATCACAGCAGTTATGAGGGCTGAGAAGCCAAGGCATAATACTACTCACCTCCACTGGCATACTCCATCACCAGGTACAGCGTCCTCTCGGTCTCAATCACCTCAAACAACTTGACTGAGGGGAGACGAGAAAAATAACAATTTGTCTTTGGCCCACACTCAATAACAACTAATAAATTGCACCTTTCTGGCTCAACTTTGTAAAATGCTTGTCCTGGATAGCTCATAGGGCATTCAAGATGGTTCTAGGGAGTTTCTGTTCCTCAGTATCAATAGCAAGCTGTCGTAGCTTAAAGCAAGGAATCCAATAACTCACATTTTCTACTGCTGAAAGCCTTGAGAAAACTGAAGACATTTCTCATTTCCTTTTGTGTATTCGTGCCTGTGTGTGACCCAGTCACACTAACGCTTACCATATCTCACGTGTGCATATACTGTAGGGCACTCACAAGTTTATTGGGTATATACTATAAAATCAGCTTCCCTGCAGTGTTTTCCGTGAGCTGTTCTAACAGTCTCTGGATGAAGAGTGGCTGAGCTCCAGGGCTATATATAGCAGAGGTGGGATGGAGAAGCGGTTTTTTCTCTCTTTTAAATGGTTATCATTGTGCATGTCATTATAGTCAGATTTGAGAAATCATGACATGCGTGGGATACAAAATTAAACTAAATTAGCAGAGAATCCTGTCTCCTTCCCCAGCTGCAACAGTGTGTGTGTGTGTGTGTTCTGCTTACCTATATTTGGATGGTTTAAAAGCTTCATTATTCTTACTTCTCTGAAGAGCTGGAAGGAGAGAAAATAAATGAATTCATATTTCAGTGTTGGACTGGATGTGTCAGAGAAGAGAGACAGTAGGGAACCTTAGATGTCACAATTTTCAACTGAATTTGAGCAAGACGCGCACGTACGCACACACTAGACAAATGCTCCATAACCATTAGAGTGAGCACATAAGCAGAGTTGCGTCAGAGCCAAGTGCTATTTATGATTGTTCGCCCTTTAACTATAGCTAGCTGTGCTCCCATCCCCCCTTCCATCCATAAAATAATAAAAGTCATCCATCTTTAATGGAACAGGACACATTCCTGATGCTGTGCCATACATGTGCTGGCCTGTCTGGCTCCTACTGTGCGGCTGGCTTAATCCAAGACATAATAGTGCTGCAGTAGACATAGACAATGCATAAGAAGAGATACAGTATTTCACCATGTCTGGAACATACAGCTCAATGACATATCCTAACTGTTCACCCGAAGGTCCGTTAAAAACATGTTTTAACCACTCCTATAAAAATGGTAGACAATCAGATACTCAGCAAGAAGGTCTGAATTCACTATAACTGAAACAGGACCCAGGTGGCAAATATAAAGATCCAGTCCACCTAAAATACTGGAGGACCCTTGCACTTCAGTGTTGTGATGCCAAAATTCTAGCAAAATATATAGCGCTTAGAATTAAAAAGGTATTGTCAGATATTATTCATCCTAAATCAGGCAGGTTTTTTTTACATGAGTGATCCATTGGAGATAATATAAGACAAGTACTGGACACAATAGAACACTAGAAAGAATCTGGGAAACCAGGCCTGGTATTCATAGCTGATTTTGAAAAGTCCTTGGATAAAGTACGACTATAATTTATAAATAAATGCATGGACTATTTTACATTTAGGAGAATCTCTTTTACAATGGGTTAAAGTTATGTATAGTAAATGTATGGCTACTTCTCAGAAAGTATTAAACTGTCTAGAGGAGTAAAACAAGGTTGTCCACTATCGGCATATCTATTTACTATGGCCATAAAAAATTTCGCTATTAAAATCAGATCCAACAGTAATAAAGGGGATAGAAATCCAGGGCTTAAAAACAAAGGTGTCATTGTATGCTGACGACTCATGTTTTCTTTTTAATCCACAATATGGATCCCTGCACAGCCTCATAGAGGATCTAAATAAATGTCCTAACCTCTCTGGAAGTGTACCATATTACGAATTGGATCGCAAAAATATATAACTTTTACATTACCATGTAGTTTACTAATAAAATAGTCTGACGGTGAAGTGGAAATACTCGGTATTCATATCCCGAAATAAATGATCTCAATAAAATACATTTTTTATAGAAAGATTTTGCTACCATGGAAAGGTACAGTGGCTTGCGAAAGTTTTCACCCCCTTTGGCATTTTTCCTATTTTGTTGCCTGGATTTTTGGGGGGTTTATGTCATTTGATTTACACAACATGCCTACCACTTTGAAGATGCAAAATATTTTTTTATTGTGAAACAAAACAAGAAATAAGACAAAAAGACAGAAAACTTGAGCGTGCATAACTATTCACCCCCACAAAGTCAATACTTTGTAGAGCCACCTTTTGGCGTAATTACAGCTGCAAGTCTCTTGGGGTGTGTCTCTATAAGCTTGGCACATCTAGCCACTGGGATTTTTGCCCATTCTTCAAGGCAAAACTGCTCCAGCTCCTTCAAGTTGGATGGGTTCTGCTGGTGTACAGCAATCTTTAAGTCATACCACAGATTCTCAATTGGATTGAGGTCTGGGCTTTGACTAGGCCATTCCAAGACATTTAAATGTTTCCCCTTAAACCACTCAAGTGTTGCTTTAACAGTATGCTTAGGGTCATTGTCCTGCTGGAAGGTGAACCTCCGTCCCAGTCTCAAATCTCTGGAAGACTGAAACAGGTTTCCCTCAAGAATTTCCCTGTATTTAGCGCCATCCATCATTCCTTCAATTCTGACCAGTTTCCCAGTCCCTGCCGATGAAAAACATCCATGCTTCACTGTGGAGATGGTGTTCTCGGGGTGATGAGAGGTGTTGGGTTTGCGCCAGACATTTTCCTTGATGGCCAAAAAGCTAAATTTTAGTCTCATCTGACCAGAGTACCTTCTTCCATATGTTTGGGGAGTCTCCCACATGTCTTTTGGCGAACACCAAACGTGTTTGCTTATTTTTTTCTTTAAGCAATGGCTTTTTTCTGGCCACTCTTCCATAAAGCCCAGCTCTGTGAAGTGTACTGCTTAAAGTGGTCCTATGGACAAATACTCCAATCTCCGCTGTGGAGCTTTGCAGCTCCTTCAGGGTTATCTTTGGTCTCTTTGTTGCCTCTCTGATTAATGCCCTCCTTGCCTGGTCCGTGAGTTTTGGTGGACGGCCCTGTCTTGACAGGTTTATTGTGGTGCCATATTCTTTCCATTTTTAATAATGGATTTAATGGTGCTCCGTGGGATCTTCAAAGTTTCTGATATTTTTTTATAACCCGAACCTGATCTGTACTTCTCCACAACTTTGTCCCTGACCTGTTTGGAGAGCTCCTTGGTCTTCATGGTGCCGCTTGCTTAGTGGTGTTGCAGACTCTGGGGGCCTTTCAGAACAGGTGTATATATACTGAGATCATGTGACAGATCATGTGACTCTTAGATTGCACACAGGTGGACTTTATTTAACTAATTATGTGACTTCTGAAGGTAATTGGTTGCACCAGATCTTATTTAGGGGGTGAATACATATGCACGCATCACTTTTACATTATTTATTTTTCACCAATTTGGACTATTTTGTGTATGTCCATTACATGAAATCCAAATAAAAATAAATTTCAATTACAGGTTGTAATGCAACAAAATAGGAAAAACGCCAAGGGGGGATGGATACTTTTGCAAGGCACTGTAAATACTTGTCTATTTGTGGAAAAATCACCCTGATTAATTAATTCTTTAGTCATATCACAGTTTACCTATTTACTGAAGGCCCTGCCTACACAGGGCAACTTGTTTTTTAAATTATATGAGCAAAACATATTCCACTTTATTTGGAACGGCAAGCCAGACAAAATTAAACGGCCCGATTTATATAATGAATATGAATTCGGAGGGCTAAAATGATTACATATTAAAGCATTGAACCTCTCACTAAAGTCTTCAGTCGTGCAAAAGTTATTCTTAAATCCAAACTGGTTCTCAAGCAGTTAATAAGAATGTCTCACCCTATGTTCAAAAATGGCCTTTTTCCATTTACTCAGATTACAACTTCTCACATTCGGTTATTTGAAAATGAAATCATCTCCAAAATATCACTACTTTAACATTCAGTTTAACAGAACAAATATTACAACAAATATTATGGTTAAACTCAAATATAATAATTGATAAAAAAACAGTTTTGGAATACATTTTTTAAAATGGTATAATCTTTGTTAATGATATCATAAATAGGACTGGGGGAGTTATGTCCCACATGCAGCTAACACAAATATATAGAAACATCTGCTCTATCCAAAATGACATCCAATTGATTGCAGCATTTCTGCAAAAATGGAGGAGGCGAGTGGAAGGGGGAGGAGGTAAGGAACTTGTTTGTCGGCCCTGCATTAAAGACAAACATTTGTAAAAAATAAAAAATAATAAAAAATGTATACCAGTTCCATTTAAGGACCAAATAATTTTAAACTGTGCAGGTTCAGGAATGGCTGAAAAATCACTACATTTACTTAAAGCTATCTTTGCAAATAGCACTGATGGGTGACTTGAAAAGCCATGGTCAGTTGATCCATATAATAGCACTTTTTGTACAGGTGTTCATCTATAATTTAGTGGAAACTATGAGAATAGAAAGTTTCAGAACTTTTGTGAAACATCACAGCAGAGTTGAAAAATATTTGGCAAGTAGGAGTCAAGATTGGATGGTTTTTAGAGATAGATGGGAGGGGTTGAGGGTAGCTGAACGGTAAAAAAATAAAATAAAAAAATAGATCACTAATGTAAAATGTACCGTGTTCGTGTACCGTGTCAGTAAAATGTATATAGTAATAATATGCCATTTAGCAGACGCTTTTATCCAAAGCGACTTACAGTCGTGCGTGCGTACATTTTTGTGTATGGGTGGTCCCGGGGATCGAACCCACTACCTTGGCATTACAAGCGCCGTGCTCTACCAGCTGAGCTACAGAGGACCACATCTACACACAATACCACAAAATGACAGTGAAAACATGTTTTTAGAAATTGTTGCAAATGTATTTAATGAAATACAGAAATAACTATGTATAAGCTGGAAGTAGAAGCCTAAGTATTGTTGTTCATTAGTTTACTCCAATTAGGGGA